GCATGTTGCAGCTCCAATACCGAATGCACCACGACATTGCCGATTGGGCCAGTCAAGCCATGTACCATGGGGAACTCCAAACACACTCTAGCGTCCGGGATCGCACGCTGAGCCAATTGGAAGATTTGCAAAAGGTTGCTTCCCATGGTAGCAGTGGAAGTATGGACGAAATGGCCAAGACTAGAATGCTGCTGGTGGATACGGCTGGATGCGAATACTTTGAAACGGTCAATGCGGCAGGATCACGCTTGAATCACGGAGAGGCTAATATTGTGACAAAGCATGTACAACGGCTAATCCAAATGGGACTGGATCAGAGTCAATTGGCCATTATTACTCCCTACAACGGGCAAGTCGAACTACTGCGCAGCATGCTGCTACAGGATTATCCTCGATTGGAGATTCGGACCGTTGATGGATTTCAAGGAGGTGAACGGGAAGCGGTGATTCTCAGTCTCGTCCGAAGCAGTGACCGTGGAGGAAAGGACGGTATTGGTTTCTTGAAGGATGACCGGCGTCAGAATGTGGCGATCACCCGTGCCAAGCGTCACTTGGCGGTCGTGTGCGATACCGAGACGGTGTGTCAGAGCAAGTTCATTAAGAATTTGATCGACTGGATGGAAACAAATGGCGAGACTCGATCGGCCATTGAATACGCGGCTGGTGGTGGTGAAAATGAGGACTACGAAGCGGACCTACGATCGGCTGAAGCGGCGCTGTTGCAAATGGTGGAGTCCGAAGTCAGGTCCACAGAAAAGTCAAAGACCAAGAGCATTGAGCAAAAGAAAGAGGAAAAGAAAAAGGAGGACGAGATCAGGCGAAAAGCACTCATGGACCAGATTTCCAAGTTTGCTGAATTCGGTCCTTTGGGAAAAGAAATGAAATTGAGCACCGAACTCAGCAGCTATGAACGAATGCTAGTTCATGAACTTGCCGAACAACTGGGACTGGGGCACCGAAGTGAAGGGACAGAGGGCGTCGATCGAAGGATTATTCTTTCCATTGTCAGGAAGCAAGGGCCGGAAGAATCCAAGGCGACTTCCAAAGCTGGTGGTGGCAAAGCAAATGACGATGCCATAGACGAAGGCATCTCAGCCAATACTGCGACTGGTCCCTCCTTTGCTGCATTAGCCATTGACGATAGTGATTCTGAATCGGGTGATGATGAAGAAGCGAATGAACCGTCCAAAGATCAGGAAGCTATGGCAACTTCGACTTCAGATTCACAAGGGAATTCACTCTTGGCCCAACTGGCCAAAGAACGCGCCGAACGACAGCAGAATCAAGGTGGTAGCCAAGCCACCGGTGTGCAAAAGCAGCAGGGCGGAACGAAAAAGAAGAAGAAATGTAAGGGACAGAAGCTAGGTGGAAAGAAACCAGTCAAACACGAACCAGAAGAAAGCCTGGACGATTTGGACGACATGGCCTTTCTAGATGCCCAGATTGTAAAGGCTGAAAACAGTCATGGACGGAAGGTCGAAGGCAAAGGTCAGTACCGCACCATTGTCAATGGGATCCTGAATACGAGACCGGAACCTCGTGCCAAGCCGACCAATCCAAATGCCAATGCGGCACTCAAATCCAAACTGAAGGATGCTCAAAATGCTAGGAAGGCAAAGCCTAAAAAGAAGAAGAAATGAACAAACTATATAGAAATAATAATTAACTATAGAGCGATGATATATTTTCTGAAGGACAAGTCTCGATGTGCGTCCCAGGTACTGGTACCATACATATACCTTGTGGTTTTCTTGTGATGATTGAGGAGTTTGATGGAAATGCATATCATATTTTTAATAACTCTATAAATTGGTCAGTCAACAAGCCATGACTGCCGCTACTAAAGGCATGGTCTTGCATGGCAGGATACTTCAATCGTAGCGAAACCAGCAAGACTGAAAGTGGTATGGAGGCCCTGAGCAAATGATGCACTACCATAACTTCCTTGCCGTTTTACATCATCGAGCTGGATTCCTTATGTTCCGCCTCGCTACCAATGGTGGCATTCGCAGATATCCAGTTCTTAAAATGACCTGCTGTGATTTTTCCATTCATGCCAGCATGCATACCCAACCCTTCAAACCTACCCTCGATAAAATCACCGCTGTATGTGCCCCGGTGATAATCAATAAATACACCTTTTCCGTGCCGACGGTTCTTATGGTATTGGCCGACGTACTTTGTGAACTTGGTCATGTAAGCTGTAAAACCATTTATCTTATTCTTGAGAAAGGACCCAAAAGCCGTATCCCCATTCTCATAAAGTGCACATCCTTGGCCTTGGAATACTCCGTGTAACCTTAGAAGGAGAAGGCGTTGGTGAGTAGCTATTGACGACTTGATGTTTACGGGAAGCAAATGACAATCGATACGCACCAATTTCCGCAGAGGATTCTGCCATGATCATATATCATGTATCCTGTGCCATGAGGCTTGCCGTCCATCATGGAACCAGTGTATTCTCTGTCTTCCTCTGCTCCCTCCTTGGGTGCCATTCTATGTGCCTTCTTGATTTCAAGTCGGGGCATGTCTTGTTCCATGTTGAAGGGGAGAACCATTTGCGAACTTTGAATGGATTTCGATATATCGTCCTCCAATTTTTGAGCTTCGTCCACAGCCTCTGGCTGAGCGCCCCCTCCTTCAACTCCTTCCATTGCCTCTAGGGCATTGCGTCTGGCACATTTCGACGGTCTCTGTTTTCTCTGGAGGGCCTCCTTTGCCGCCTCTAGACTCTTTTGGGCTTTATCGTCCAAAGTCAAAGTGATACAATTTGGTTTCGCTGCTGCTGCTGCTGCTGATGCTGGTGCTGGTGCTTTTGTTGGTGCTTCTTGGCCAGGCGAATTCACAATGGACATTAGAGTTTCGGCAAGCTGCTCGCCCCCCTCATCGAACAAGAGGGCCAACAGCATACCTCTTGTCGAATGATCATCTTCGTCCCGAGTCACTTTGTTGCCGACTACTACCGTGTCCTCGTCTTCAAATAGGGAACAAAAGATTCTGCGTTGATCACTTTCCAAAGACAATGATTCCATTCCAGAGTTCAAATCATCGTCCCCGTTTCCATTTGGTGCTTCTGCCACGCGTGAAGCTGTGGCTATACCAGCCCCTTTCTCTTCAGGGGCACTTGGTTCTTGGTTTGTTTGTTGTGCAGTTTGTTGTGCAGTTTGTTGTGCAGTTTGTTGTGCAGTTTGTTGTGCAGTTTGATCCTTTGGGTGATTCAGCTTGAATCTGCGTCTGTCAAATGCTGTTCTCACAAACTTCACTGCTTCCTTGTTGGTCATATTGTAGTAGCGTCGATTTTCCTCGTCCCATGCCATGAATTGCCCACCGCTTCGTGGCACGTCCAATACAATGGCTTCTGCTACTTCTGCTCTTCCCTGCTTGTCAGCTGCCTCGTACGCGTCAAACCTTTCTATAATGGTTGCCCGAAGGTTGACGTTTCCATGGTGTCTGTATTTACCCTGACGGCAAAGTACATCGTTGGCATTCATGATGGTCTTCGGTTTGTTTTGCTGTTGGCTGTAGGTGTAGTAGTAGGTGAAGCAAGCAGTGTCGATTCAATTGCCTTTCCGACACAACTTCGTTCGATTTTATGAACAACGTTCGTCGTCATCATCATCATCATCATCATTCCAATAAAACTTGTGTGTCTGCGCGACTGGAAGAAATGTTTTCTTCCCAAAATGCGCGTGTAGGAATTGTACGAGTACGAGGAAAAAAATGATCCCTTCTTCCGTGCTTAGGGATGGAGTATAAAGCCTACAGCACTCTACGAGGAATAATCTTTGTGCTTCACAATTTCCTTCTTTCTGGAAGAAATATTTTCTTGCGTGATGCTGTTTTGTAGGTTTCGTTTGTGATTATGTGACCACAACGCTCACTCATCATAAAACATGTCGGAAGACAATCAAAAGCAGTCGCCCTGCAGCATGAGTGAAATAGGTACGATTTCAAAAATTGTTAAAAGCGCCAACGAACAGAAGGACGAAAGCTCTTCGGAAGCAAGCTCGGCAGCACCAGGTGATGATAGCAGAGAGATGCACAATGAAGACTCGGCTTCGCGACAGCAAATTGCTTCCGATGAAGAGTTGTCTTTTGCAAAGGATGATGGTCCAGCTTATGTTGCCGTGCGCGATACAAATGATCATGATGGTTGTGACGCTAGCTCGATGGTCACATTTGACAGCGAGCGCACAGGCGCTCATGACATGCGTCAAGATCCCATCGAGAATAGAAGCCTTGGTGCCAAAAGCATGATGATTGCCACCAGAAGCATGACCCATGAGACAATCCAAGAAGTGCCAGACACTGTTAGAGATTCATCCAAGGAACAGAAGGACGGTGGCTATTCTGAAGCAAGCTCTGCAGCACCAGATGATGATTGCAGAGGGGCGCACAACAATGAAGACCCAGCTTCACGACAACAAGTTGCTCCAGATGACGAACTGTCTTTTGGAATGGAAGGCGGTCGACCATATGTGCGACCGTCAAAAGAGGAACAAATCCGTTTCAATGATGAACTGAGTCAACTATTAAAGGAAACGAGTTCGGGCATGGGTTGGACGGACCCAGAGGTGGCCAAGATTTGCAACACAATGACAAGCCAGAAATTTGATGAAGAACAAAGACGTTTATGGGATGAACTTGGACACCAATTGCAGGCAAAGGGCTTGATGGACTCGGATGTAGCTTTGCAATACAGCAATATTGCAAT